GGCCTAGGATTAGATGATCAAAGACTACGGACACGAGCGAATTATCCCCTAATAATGAATTGTAGTAGCAAGTAAAAGTGTTACATAAACTTGTCTTAGATATACAATGAATACAATGATTTGATTGCGCTACCACCAAACAGCAGAAGACGACGCAAGAAGAGTGAGTGAGTGAAAGTAAATATAATGAACATGGAGGTTAGAGAGAAGGAGAACGATCGCTGTAGAGAATAGTGTCCGAGAAAAATGGACAAAATAAATGAGGCGTTGCGATCGATCGATCGATAAGTTGTCTCAATAAAAGTCATTTTCAGTCTACTTTTCCGATCAGATGTTAAACCACTTGCACATCCACGCATAATACAATATTTCACCATTTTTTAATGTTTCTTTTGGTCAATAATAAAAAAAATTACGGAGCATGATTATTTTCTTACCAATGCTGCGAAGAAAATTTGTGCATTATTAACTTAGAGTAATCACATGATGTATGAATAGAGAGAACCTACAATTCTATATAAATTAAGACAATATACTTGTCATGCTTTTTCTAATTGAATTTTCAAATAAGTCAAAAAGAAAAAAATATATTCAAAGATGTTGCGTATAATTCATGCGTGGAAAATGAAATGTCAAGTGGTCGTCTTTTTACACTACTAAATAAAAAAGTTAATAAAATCGTATTTATTTTGTCTAACATTCTAATTAAGTCGTAATATTTATTGTGTCGTATTACGACGCATCTTCTCGTCAAGTATACCTCAAAACATGAAAACTAAGTTGTACAACCAGTGCGTATTGCCAGTGATGACCTACGGAACCGAGACGTGGTCCTTCACTGCTGGCCGTATGAGGACGCTCAAAGTCACTAAGCGAGCTATGGAGAGGGCTGTGCTCGAAGTTTCACTGCGTGATAAACTTAGAAATGAGGATATCCGCAGTAGAACCAGAGTGACCGACATAGCCCAACGAATTAGTAAGCTGAAGTGGCAATGGGCCGGCCATATAGCTCGAAGAACCGACAACCGTTCTGGAAAAAAGGTTCTCGAGTGGCAGCCTCGTACCGGTAGGCGAATTGTAGGGCGACCCCCCACTAGATGGAGTGACGACCTGGTACGACATGCAGGAAATCGATGGATGCAGGTGGCTCAGAACCGTGCTTTGTGGCATACCTTGGGGGAGGCCTATGTTCAGCAGTGGATTTGTGAAGGACTGTAATGATGATGATGATGATTTATTGTAATGTTTCACGTCTGTTGTCCTTAATATTTTATTAAAAATGTTATTATAAAATTATATCTTTAAATAAAATATATCAATAGAGATGGCTTGTTTTATAATAGGATGCAAATCCCATTCTTCCCGTAAGGAACATGGTTCAGAATTCGTAAGCTTCCACTGGTGTGTACGTTTTTATTATTCTAGAATTAAATTACATTATAACTATAAGTAAACTGTATTTCACATTATTTTGAAAGTAAATAGTCGGTTTTTTTTGTAAAAATGAGACTGTATTTGTTATATATAATAGCAAAAATACATTGAAATATAAAATTTATTTTAAACAATAGTGATGCGGTTTTGAGGCATATCGGCACAGTCGACAACCCCATATCGACATTCTTCTTTATATTCTGGTTGTTTTATTATACGTAAAATGATAAAGAATTGGAAAAAAAAAACTGGATGAGGTAATTCCACGGGCACAAAACCATTGGACAAAAAATAGCCGCATTTGCTCAAAACACTTCTCCAAACATTGTTTTGTTAACGAAGGGAAATGGCGGAGGCTGAAATCAAATGCAATTCCTACTTTATACATCGAAAGAATACTATTATGTTTGATTTTATTTTTAATTACGTATCATTTAATTAATTATGTCAAACCAGCATACAGTCAATGGTATATCAACTTGCTAATAGCATTATTAATAGTTATATCATTATATCCGTTTTGAAACTCCTTGTATGTTTTGATGTTTTAGTAACCAGAGGAGATTATAGATATTTCACCCACAGAAAGTAAAAAAAATTAGAATACACTACAAATACACACTTTTAAAAATAACTGGCAGAGAACTATTAAATAATAAAAGAATAAGTTTGCAATTATTACTTCACAGGTATTTCTAGACTTCATGACGATATTAACAATCTAAAACCCGAAGCAATGAACATTAGTGAGAATTTAGCTCCTTCCACAAGTTCAAATTGCGATTTAGATAATTTACGTATACATAAGTTGGAACAAAAATTAGCTAAAGCTCAGAAGCTTTCGATAAAACGTCTACTGAAAATAAAATCTCTCCAGCAAAGATTGTGGAGGCTTAAATAAAGAAAAATATAACTTTAAATGATAGATTACAAGAGATCCTAAACAAAGAAAAATTAGGAAATGAGAAAATCATGTTGGACGCAGTAAAAATAATAAAATTATACAAAGTTATTTATTAAAAAAGCAGGCAATTTTATATGTTAGTGAAAAATAAAAATTGTAAATATCAGTGACATAGGCTTCTATTCCGGTCACCTGTTACAGCCTATTTTATTCCAGACAATAAAAAATCATCTAAGTATCCTTTAATTTTCCAATAAAAGGTATATGCCAATACAAACAGATAAGTTATTTATTGCAGGAGCTTGAGAACTTCATAATTCATTTTATTTTTGGACTTGTAAAATATGTATATCTCGATTAGAATTTATTGTAATATATTGATCAAATACGACTCAAAAGTGAGTTTACTGCGTAATTGTAACTTACAGAGTTGGGGGCAAATAATGGGGTATGACTTATACGTTTCTTAGGTACCTTAATGTTTACTGCTGATAGTAAAACCGGAGAATCTAGGTAGCCGTTGTCTATAATAAACACCAATATCATATCTTACGTCTATTTTCTAAGAACGAATAATATAGTAAATATATATATGTATATACGTGTGAATGCTATAATTCAAATGCCTTATAAGCTTTGTATGAATTCTTTCATTTTGTTGTTTATGCTTAATATAATAGGGAGAACAAATACTACTAGCGTAGTAAACACTTTTAATGCAGTTTATGTCCGAAAAAGGTTTGCAAGTACGTAGAACAAACCTTTGACTTTTTAAGCTATTTGTATTTACATGTTTTGTCACAACCAGCTTTTTGTCAAGTGTACCAATTAGTATTTTATACATTTATTTCATCTTTTTTACACACCTTATTATGAGGGATATAAAATGCCGACTTATTGTCTTATGGCATTCTCTATCAGTTAACCCTGGACGATTTGAGAAACTGTGGCAGGTATAAAGATTTTACTAAATAAAATGAGTAATATAGATATAAGATACAATAAACAATTTAAAAGTTATTTCAATACAGTTTTGTTGGTTTTATTTTCTTTGTAAAGGGCAAATAAATATTTTGCTCACATCTAAGTAATGTAAAGTTGATGAAAAATCGTTGCCAAATTTGGCAAACAGAATTTTTCTTAGTGGTCTTTATGTTTTTAACTTTACAGCACGATAGATCTGAATTACAAAATTTTATTTATTTATTTTTTAAAAATGAAGGCCATTTACAAGTTTTCAGTTATATAATACTTTATAATAAACAAGATTGTGTCAAAAGAGATATGTACAAGTATATGGCAAGTAACAGTACACTATCGAAAAGAAAAGAAATTGTTAGAAAGTGAACTTCTAAGTTGGGGAACGCTGGAATGAAATAAGTCAATATCCACGTTGTGAATATGTGCTGTAGCATTAAAAGATTTGCATGATCGAATAATAAAAGAGTTTTGTCTATAATTACTTTTCACGTATGGTGCCGATAAAAGTGTAGGTTTCCGCAAGTTAGATGATGAGGTACGTAAACCTATTTTACTTAGTAGTTCAGGGCAATCAACAACACCATTAACAATTTTAGAGAGGAAAGAGAGATCTGCAATATTTCTTCGCTCATATAAAGGTAAGATATGAAATTTTTTACATCGAAGAGTATAGTTGGGTATAAACTTTTTTGATTTAAATTGAAGAAAACGCAAAAATCTTTTTTGTATGCGCTCTATCCTATCAACGTATACATTATATTTAGAATTCCAAATTTCAGAGGCATATTCCAAGTGGCTGCGTACAAAAGCGCAATAAAGAATTTGAAAGTTCTTATACTTTTAAAATCTGCCGATAATCTTAATATAAAACCTAGCGCTTTGTTAGCCTTTGTAATAATATCATCAACGTGATTGTCAAACAGCAATTTTGAGTCAAAGGTAACACCTAGATCTCTGATGGTGCTGGTTCTATTTAGAGCAGTATGATGTAACTTATAATTATATTTTATAGGATTAGGTTTACGAGTAAATGAGCAGATAAAACATTTAGAAACATTTAGATCAAGTTTATTGTTAAAACAATATGCTCTAGAACAACTTTCCAAATCTGTAACAGGACATAAGATTGTCATATCGTCAGCGTAAAGAATAATCTTGGAACTTTTAAAACATGTATCGATATCATTGATAAAAATTAAGAAGAGCAAAGGACCTAATATGGATCCTTGCGGTACGCCAGACGATATATGGATTGTAGAGAAACGACATCCACCAAGGACCGCAGATTGACTTCGATTTCTGATATATGACGTAAATCACCTCTGATACCCATTATAAGGAGTTTACGTAAAAGAATTAAATGATCAATTCTGTCGAATGCTTTGCAGTAGTCTGTATATACTACATGAACTTGTGCTGGTTTAAACATAAAGCTAGTTAGATAGTCGGAACAAATAATAAGGTTTGATACGGTGGATCTGTTTTTTAAGAAACCATGTTGATTTTCACTAAATGTGTGACGAAGAGAAGAGTACACCTGGTTGTAAATTATTTTTTCAAGCACTTTAGCAAATGGACAGAGCTTAGAAATGGGAAGATAATTTTGTACCTCATCCTTAGGTCTTTTTTTATGTTCTTTTGTATTTAGAAAAATGTGTTTATTACTCCATAAACACATTTTTCAAATATTTGGAAACATGCCTTCCTTTGAAGAACGGCGGTACAGGATGCTCAGAGGCAAAGTAAGGAAGCCCGCACAACGTACGATGAAGATCGCCGGGATACCGTCTGGTACAGCTGATTTGTGCGGGTCGATAGTCTTTAAAAGTCTGGATACCTCGGCTTCTTTCACTTCGATGGAATCGATATCGACAGGAGATTGATCAATTTTCGTGTCAATAATATTAAAGTTAGTTGTGTCAGAATCGTGAAGAAAGTTGGTTGGAGTATTAAAGAAATAACAAATTACTTCACCTTTGCTTGAAGAATATTGACCGAATTTCATGCTAGAAGGATAAGAATTTGGAGATTTTTTTACTCTTGACAAAGTTTATGTTATTTTTTATATCGCGAATTTAAGCTTCATACATACTTTTTTCAAGAACTTTACCACGTTCCCTTAATAAAATAAATGTTCCCTTAATAAATAAATGGTTTCGAAGTTACCTGTCTGGGCGCCAGCAACGTATACGCATCGATGATACATTATCATCATGGTGTAACGTATGTGTTGGTGTGCCGCAGGGAGGCGTTTTATCTCCTTTACTTTTTGCAGTTTTTATAAACTCAATATCTAATAATTTAACTTCTTCCTACCACCTTTATGCAGATGATCTGCAAATATATACTAAAGCTTGTCCCAACGATCTCCCCAATGCTATCAATGTCATTAATACAGATCTCGAACGAATTCTCGAGTGGAGTAAAGCATACGGCCTTCACGTTAACCCAGCTAAATCACAAACCATTATCATCGGTAGCGCGCAAATGCTGAATAAGTTATCAGTTGATCACCTACCCCAAATTGTATTTAATAAAACTAATATCCCTTACAGAGATTCAGTGAAGAACTTGGGGATTCACATAGATAAAAATTTGTCATGGGACCATCAAATCAAAGAGATCCACCGTAAAGTTTATGCCTCTGCAGCCTCCTTGCGTAGATTACGTAACTTTCTTCCAATATACACCAAAACTGTGCTTGCCAAGTCCCTTCTTTTCCCTATTTTCGACTATGCGGACGTCAGCTATCTAGATCTCACCGAAGCTCAGCTTGATAAACTTGAGCGAATTCAGAATTTCTGTATAAGGTTTATATTTGGATTACGTAAATATGACCATGTCTCTCTTTTTCGTACTAAGCTCAAGTGGTTGTCGATACGTCTTCATCGGAATGCTCACATACTTCATCTTCTCTATAGTATTCTCTTTAATCCTTCTTACCCTTCTTACCTCAAAATCGGTTTGTGTTTCTTCGTGATTCCCATTCGCGTAACCTGAGATCAGCAGAGAGCTTGAAATTGTATATGCCACTACATACTAGTAAATTTATGAACAAGTCTTTTACTGTACAGGCCGTTCGTTTATGGAATGAACTCCCATTGGCAGTCAAACGCGCTCCATCCCTACCGGTTTTTAAAAAACTAGTAAAGAACCATTACCTTGCACTTCGTTCCCACACTAGTCGTTTAATATAATATAATATAATATATATGTAGTATATTGATTGCATTTAGTTAAATAATTAAATATATATTTTTTGTATGTATATATGTTTGTAGTCTATGTATGTTTTGTTATATTTATATATATATATGTATATATGTGTATGTATGTATATGATTATATATATATATATATATATATATATATATATATATATATATATGAAATGTGTATTCTTTTTTTTATCACACCAATGTGCCCTACCCTTGTAATTTTTGTGTAATCCTGTCCATTCACTGGTTGTCTGGAAGAAATTGCTATCAGCAATAAGACCGCCCATTGCATACTTCTTTTGTATATATAATTAGTACTTTTTTTTATATATGGTGTGCAATAAAGAATATTAAATAAAATAAATAAATAAAAAATAAAATAAAATAATCAAGATCGAAAGTGTTTCTATATTTCTTATACTTAGAGTGGTACTTCATTTTTTCTTTTAAGATTTTAATCAGGAGGGTTTTATACCAAGGAGGAAATCTGGAAGTTGGGTTAACAGTTTTGCAAGGGACATATGCATTGATTAACGTTTTTAACTTATCATACAATAAGAGTACAGCCTCCTCTAAAGTACCAATTCTGAGACAGTTGGACCAGTCCGTACTATCAAGTTGTTGGTAAATATTTTAGTGTAGTCTGCTAAATTATACACTAATTTAGTTCTGGTTTGCGGTGAAAGCATATGCTGGTGGATGAAATCAACAGATATATATAATGCCACGTGATGAGGATCTTCACAAATTGAAACAAAATTTAGCAAAATTGTTTCTAAATCAAACGTTTTTAAGTTCCATTGCTGAACACTTCATCCGTAGCAGGTCTTCCCTTAGTTGGTATCCGAAATTAATATTTATTGAAAACGTTAAGCAATTACTAAAACGCTGAACTTTATTGAACCATAGATAAAACGAGTATATCGATAAGGCTGTTATTTTCTATAGTTATCATCACTAGAATTGTCTATGGTATATAAAAAAAGCTAAAAAAACGTCTACAAAAACGTCTAACGTTATACAACCATGGAGTCATGGAGGTTAGAGAACAGAAGAACGATAACTACATGCTAGAGCATAGCCCGCATGCCCCTGAAATTTTGTAGAATTTAAAATCGCGCTGCCGTCGGTAAGTAGTGTCTGCGAAGTAATTTTTTAATTTTTGACAAAAAGAAACATTAAAAAATGGTGTAATATTATAAAAAAAAACTAATAATAATAATAAATAAATAATAATTGACCAACTGTAGTTGTCTTCCTTATCTAATGAAGCTACTGCTTGTTAAATAGAAACAAAACTGTTTTTCACGAGTGTTTGTCGATATTATAGATATATTTGTATAATTATTATTTCTGTAGTAGAATAATATGCCGCCTCTACAGGTATTATATCTCTATGGCTTTAGCACGTAGCCATCGTTCTCCTTCTCTCTAACATCCATGTTAATGAAACTATAGAATCCACAGACCACATACATTGAGAGTGAATGGTCGATCGATCTGTCAGGATAGATTCGGGAATTAAGCTGATCACTCACATATGTCACTATTCATAATGATCCTTATTTAAAATTAAAATTATTCAGTTTTTTAATAGATTCGACAAAAAAGCTAATATTCGTTGTTTCTATAAATAAATATATCGACGTATCGAATACAGAAAATTAATATTTGTTAAAACATCGAATCAATGCGATATATCGTACGGAAAACATTGAATAAATTCGATATATCGATGTTAAGTGAATATCCCTACCGTAGAGGTTTGAGAGAAGGAGAACGATCGCTACGTACTAAAGTACATAGCCCGCCTGCCCTTGAAAATTTGTAGAATTTATAGCGGCGCTGCCGTCGGTGAATAGTGGTTGCCAAGTTAGCTGTTTATGAGTACAAATAGATGAAATTAGTTGAATAATGTACTCTTCGCGGCATTGGTGAGAAAATTTTCGTGCTCCGTATTGTTTTTTAATTTTTGACAAAAAGAAACTTTAAAAAATGGAGAAATATTTTATTGTGCGTGTATGTGCAAGTGGTTTAGCATCTGCTCAGAAAAATAGACTGAAAATGACTTTTATTGAGCGAACTTAGGGATCGCAGCACCTCACTTATTGTGTCCATATTTCTGGGACACTATTTTCTACAGCGATCGTTTTCCTGTTCTCTAACCTCCACGATCCCTACTTTATATTGTTTGTCATTTTATTACTTCCTCTATACTCCATGATTACAACTCAAAGTGTTACGAGCGTAGACAGAAAACGTAGACAGAGAAACCTGTAGACTAATGAGTAGCGTGGCCTCGAGTGAGAAAGGACGATAACGTAGTTTTAGGTTATACAATAATCTTTATGACTTTTAAAAATATTTAGATAAAAATTTTAATTGTTCTAAGAACTGAACTGAACAAGATTCACCAATCTTAAACTCACAAAACACTTTTCTTCTCACTTAAACTAACTTGTAAACTCCTTAGATCGCTACGAACTGCCAAAGTTGTTTAGCAAAGTCTAGTTTGCTAAATAAAAAAACCGGCACGGAGAAAGGAACAAACAATCACACCGCTCTGTCTCACTTCTATGCAAGACGTATGCATAAATCTATCTGTTTCGTGTGTGAATGCGAAAGAAGGCGTCAATTTGTCTATAGGTTTCTCTGTCTACGACAGAAAATGATAGAAGTATTATCTCCGTAGACAGAGAAACCTATAAACAAAATAGATGTATGCATACGTTTTGCATAGAAATGAGACAGAGCGGTGTGATTGTTTGTCCCTTTCTCCGTGCCGGTTTTTTTGTTTAGCAAACTACACCTTCCTAAACAACTTTGATAGTTCGTATTGATCTAAGGAGTTTACAAGTTGGTTTAAGTGAGAAAAAAGTGTTTTGTGAGCTTAAGATCGGTGAATCTTGTTCAGTTCAGTTCTTAAAACAATTAAAATTTTTATCTAAATATGTTTAAAAGTCATAAAGATTATTGTATAACTTAAAACTACGTTGTCGTCCTTTCTCACTCAAGGCCACGCTAATCATTAGTCTATAGGTTTCTCTGTCTAAGATTATCTCAGATTAACTTTGAGTATTATTTATTGACTGGAGGTTGGTAGTAATTGTTAGGTTGCCATATGAAAAAATAGCTTGCTACATATTTATTTATTGTCTATGGTATATAAAGTCATCATAGATTACTGGCGCAGAAGGGCTAGAACCCAGAGCCGTAAAGCCAGTTAATAAAATAAAATCATAGATATTACATGGATTAGTGCACATACCACATAATATAAATTCAAATAAATGTAATTCTGGACATCTTGATCTTGTTTTTTAATTAAAAATATGGGTAGTCAATCTAATTATTTATCAATATCGGATATATTAGTTACTAACGAGAAAGTACCGTGTAAATTTTTGCACGATTTGCCTAAAATGGGTATGCAGTAAACACATTTTAGTCTACGAATTGTATTCATTTTTAATTTATTTCTACGATTTTACAGGATTTTTAGACCCAGCATCAACTGAGGATGATTTAAAAACTGGAACTAATGTCGAAATTCCCTTGTGGTTAGCAGAGTCACTATATTCTCGTAGGCCACCTTTAGTTAGTGTCGACTTACCTAAAATATATAAAGAAGCGTACAGAGAAATATTAAACGCTGACGCCTGCACAGTAGATTTACATAAACTAGGGCAGCATTTTTATGAACTTGGATGTTACATCGCTAAACATGATATAAAAGGCGAAGTCGGTAATACATTAGTTAATGTAAGTAGTCTACTGCTATTGTACT